TCTAAGCTATAAACGAGAATTTTATAGAAATGTTATACCCTACACCACAAGGTGGTCAGGGTATTATGTCTTTGTGCATTTGTGTGTAACAGGCGAAAGGAAACGAGATAAACCCATAGTTCCTTTTGATGATCTGCATAGAATCACATTCTGAGTCGATTTATGCATGTCCGTCCGTCCGTCCGTCTGTCCATATATTTTTGTAAACAAAGTACAGTTCGCATTTAATATCCGATTGAGATGAAATTTTGCACAAATCATTTGTTTGGCCCAAGGACGAACCCTATTGAAATTGGAGATAATCGGTCAAAATTTAGACATAGCTCCCATATATATCTTCGTATGATTTACATTTTATTGTGCATCAAACGTGTAATATCAGCGCGAATAGTATGGAATTTTGCACATACAACCAAATTAGGCCTGAAAGTAAATATGCCAAATTTGGTCGAAATCGGTTCAGATATAGCTTTATCTCCCATATATATTGTTCATCCGATTTGTTATTTTTGTCCTCCGCAGCCGTAAATATGCACTCTGTAACAACAATATTTGGGGAACTATATCAAATACAGCTCAGAAATACCTTTGCTAAATTTTATCGAGGTCGGTTCAGATTTGGATATAGCTCCCATATATAACTTCGTCCGATTTACCTTTTTATTGTGCACCAATCATCTAATATTTGTCCAAATGGGATGGAATTTGGCACTTACTACCGATTTGAGTCTAGAAGCTAGTATGCCAAATTTGGTGAAGATCGGTTCAGATATAGCTATAGCTCCCAAATATATTGTTCATCCGATTTGTTATATTTGTTACCCACAACCGTAATATGCACTCCGTAACAACGATATTCAGGGAAATATATCAAATACAGCTCAGATACATCTTTGCCAAATTTTATCGAGATCGGTTCAGATTTGGACATAGCTCCCATATATATATCAAATGGGCAATACAAGTCCGAATTTAAAAAAAATACAAATGCTTCGGCATATTTAGTCTTTTGAACTTTAAATTATAATTATAATCATATGGTGTATGATTTACTTCTCCCATAAAAACTTTTAATTGTTATGTGGAGCTCTACTAAATTAGCAAAGTGGTGTAGGGTATCATAAAGTCGGCCCCGCCCGACTCTAGGACTTTCTTTACTGTTTTTTTTAGAAATTTTAAAAATTAAAGACTGTGACTGAAATGTGGAAAGTGAATAAGTCGATAATTACCATGAGTGGATGGATTCGGAGTTTTTATAAGTTCTTTAAGAAAAATTAAGACTCAGGGACTGGTGTCCAATATGACCTCTAAAATTATTCCAAATATTCATTGCAATATTATTGCTTCTATTGCGGATCCTAAAAAATATTTAAGGAACACTGCCAAAAGGTGATTTGTTTTTGACGATTTTTTCTGAGCTAAAATCCTTTAAAAATATTTTCTAAGCCATAAACGAGGATTTTATAGAATTTTTTTTTCCTACATCTCAGCTTTGAACTTTTTGGGAAAAATTAAAAATTTTTTGAGTCACAAACGTGGATTTTTAAGATATTCCTTTAGATCGTGATATGTGTAAGTGAATACGTTCCGAGAAAGAATTAGATTAAAAATAGTAAAATGTTTAAGATATCCTCAGACATATGGCTACACAGGATATATATCATTTTTTACGGCCAAAACGTGTGTAGTCGAAACAAAAGTTTTTAGATCCTATGTCTCTTTGGACCAAATCTATTTCAGGACATTTGGAGTCGATTTAGCGATGTCCGTCCGTCCGCCTGTCTGTCTGACTGGTGCATATAACTCTCGAAGGCAATAGCCGATTTGATCCAAACTTGGTACATCGTACGGATGGGCAATATCGCTCCACTCCTTCTGGTAAATGCCACACTTAAGGTCGATTTTTCAAAAAAAAAAAAAAAATGTTGTTGCAAAATGGTTAGGCTTAATCCCTTTATTGTTGTTTTTATAAAAACAACGTTTGTTTATTAGTGGAGAACGATGGTAATGTTTACAAGGGGGTAAGGCAGGGAATACCTAGGTTTCGGAAAGAGCCACCAATCCTCATCAGTTCCCTTGTTTTTTTTTTGCCTTGCATCCGAGCTAGGTCAGGTGCGAAAATGGACAATATCAGTTCACTCCATCAAGTACCTCCCCCGCAAAGGGTAACAATTTTAAATATACATAGCTGTTATAAAATGTGAAATAAGCCTCTGATTGCCTTCGAGTATCGCACATCTCGATATTTTTATCAACACAAGATCTGGAATGGAAGTGAAATATATGGAACCACTACTTTTTAGTACCTCCCCACAAAACATAAAAATTTTTATTAACACCTAGCGGGTATCCGCTACTTTGTTAGTGAAAAGTTCGGTATTTTGATGACATTATTCATCGGAATTGTTTTAAATTTGGTATTTGAAGCTCGTAGCGGATACTACAGCCTATGACAAAAAGTTGTCTGTGCAGGTCCACGTCTTCATATAACTCCATATAACGGTACCTCCCGATATTCGGTATTTTGATGATTTTAGCGACATTATTAAGCGGAATTGTTTCCAATTTCCGGAATTTACCAGAAGAATTGGTCCGATCTGCACCTATAAATTTGGTGATCTTGTGCTGATCGAAATATTGAGATATACCAAGTCTGCATGAAATCAGAATTTAATTTCGCGTATTATGAGCTTCATTGATATTCGAAATTCTGACCCTTTGTGGGGAAAATTCCAGAAGAAGGGGACGGATACATTCCATCTTCACAGCAGATCTTGTGTTAGTAGAAATAATGGGATGTGTGTAACTTGAAGCGAACCGGATGCTTATTTCGGATTTTATAATCGTTTTGGTTATTCAAAACTTTTACCCTTTGTGGGGCGGTACCAGAAGGAATGGTTCGATCTCTCCATCTTTATAAAAAATCTGGTGTTGATGGAAATATTGAGATGTGCCAAGTCTGAATGGAATCAAATGTTAATTTCGCGTTTTACGAGCTTCATGAATATTCAAAATTATGACACTTTGTGGGGCAGTATCAGAAGGAGTCGACCAATATATTCCATCTACATACCAGATCTTGGGTTAATAAAAATATTGTGATGTGTGTAATTTGAAGACAATCGGACTTTTAGATCACATTTTTTTAGAGTTATAATTATTCAAAATGTTGAGCCCTTGTCGGCGAGGTACTTGATGGAGTGAACCGATATTGGCCATTTTCGCACCTGACCTAGCTCTTATGGAAATATTAGGATTTGCAAAGTTGGAGCAAACTCGAATTATCGTTTCTCTTTCTGTGCCTTTACCAGAAGGAGTGGAGCAAAATTGGAGTGGACCAATATTACCCATATCCGAACTCAATCTAAGTCTGACAAAAATATTACGATGTATCATGTTTGGACCAAATCGGATACTCTCTTCGAGAGTTATCTTTCCCACAAGCCAGAGAGAAGGACTGATATCGCTATATCGACTCCAAATGGATTTATTCTAAAGAGACCTAAGGTTTAAAACAGTAGTTTCGATGAGACACGTTTTGGACGTATCAAATGATAAATACCCTCTGTAGCCATATGGCTGAGGTCATAAAAAAGACCCCATCCCTAACTCACTTGAGGGTTATAAAATTCCATCAAAATGTTCCTCATATTTTTATCTGCAATAATGCGGATATAGTGCTTATACCTAAAATGCTATTTCCAGGAATTTTAATTCGAAAATTCTATAAATGGTGGAAGAGGGGGGAAATTGTATATTAAGTTTGTCATTACGTTTGTAACACCTCGAAATATACATTTTAGACACCACAAAGAAAAAAAATATTCTTAATCAGCATAAAATTCTATGTCGATTTAGCGATGTCCGTCCGTCTGTGGAAATCACTCTAGCTTGCGAACGAAATGAAGTAGGTTGATAAAAGTTTACTTAAATGTATATTATGTCCGCAGGACTTTTGGTATTGAAAATGGGTCATGTAGGTCCACATTTTAATATAGCCCCCATATAACGGTACCTCCAGATATTCGGTATTTTGATGATTTTAGCGACATTATTTAGCGGAATCGTTCCAAATTTGGTATTCGAAGTTCGTAATAGATACTGCAGCATAAAACAGAAAATGGGCCATGTAGGTCGACGTCTTCGTATAGCCCCCATATAACGGTACCCTCGCAATATTCGGTATTTTGACGATTTTAGCGAAGTTGAAGTTCGTAATGAATACTACAGCCTAAGACAGAAAAGTGTCTGTGCAGGTCCACTACTTCGTATAGTCCTCATATAGCGGTACGTCCCCATATTCGGCATTTTCATGATTTTAGCTACATTATTCACCGATTTTTTTCGAGTTTCGTATTTGAATATTGTAATATTGTAATAGCTTATGACAAAAGTTGCCTGTGCAGGTCCACGTCGTCATATAGACCCTAATATAACGGCTACATTCGATATTTTTAAGATTTAAAAAAATTAACGGATTGTTTTTTTTTTTTTTTTTTTTTTGAAAATTGCCAAATTCTTTCCAAATGGTGGAGAGTATTCAAAGATCAGCCCGGCCGAACTTACAGTTTTTATAATTGTTTGGCTCTACTTTCATATTCTGCTGCATTCTCCCCGTAAGTATTTTTTGGTGTTGCTCAGTGTTATTATTATTTTCGATTTTTTTTTAAGTTTAATATTTTTCTTTGAATTCAATGTAGCCTTTGTCAAAATATTTACAAAAAAATTACCTAATTTCAAATAACTGTATTGCCTATTTTTTTTTTTTTTTTTTTTTTTTGAAAAACACGAATATTCCATCATCGAATATTTTTGTATTCAAATCACAGAACTATAATCACGTCGAGCGAATTCTTCAAAAAAAAAAAAAAATAAATAAATAAATAACAAAAAAAATCTAACAAAAAATCGATATCCTCATAATTCGCAATAAACTGAATTTAAATACCCGCATAATCTGGACCAGAATATTTCTGAAATGAAAGTCGCAAAAAACATACCTGTCGAGATTGTTGTGGTATGTGCGAGAGTGCGTTTGATTGCTTCCCCACTCGATGATCACTTTCCGCCAGGGAGATGTGGAGAGAGGGTGTCACTCCCCAGACTATTTGATGGGTGAAATTGATTAAAAGCCAAAGTAGAAGTTGTTGAAGATGTTGCTGTTTTTTTTTTTTGCTATTATTGTAGGCTTGTTGGCCGCAGCCAGCAGAAGATCCGTGCAGTGAATTGGAGATGCTATTTTAGGAGTGGAGAAAGAGTTGCTTTAACTCACAACAACAACAAAAAACAAGTATCGAAGCAGCCAACATCCGTTCACACTCAACACTTGTCGTGTTCTTTTCTTTTTGTGGTTGTTGTTGCCGTTGTTATTCTGCACTTGAAAATTGTTTGGTGAAATCTCTGAGCCAGCATTTCACTTTAGACATCATCGTTGGTTTTTGTTTTTTTTTTATTTAATTCTATTAGCCTTTAATACCCTATCGAATTTTAAGGGGGAGTGAGTAAAGGTATGGAATTTTTTCTAGCTTTTATTTCGTTTTTTTGCTGTTGTCATTTAAGAACATTGACTCTGAAGAATCCCACCTTAAAAAAAATCGCACACACTTAGGAATTCATGCTAAAACACACACACCAGTCACACATACACTTAAAACATTCCAATATTATTTTTTTTCTCGCTTCTTCTTCACCAATACTCCAACAATTTTGATTTGGGAATTTCTAAAACTCTCTTTTCTTCTTGGGCTCGTTAGGAAGAAGACCAAAGAAATTTCATTTTCACCTTTTTAAAAATTTCACAACTTCATTGAATAATTTATGTTTTTGGTTATAATTAGTAAGATTTTATTCGTGTTGTTGTTTTTTTTTTCTATTTCTGTTTAACAATCAATAATTAGCAACTTAATTTTTATTTCGTGAAATTCTTTTGCCATTCTCTTCAAACTAATAACAAAATTCGTTAAAATCGATGCCTAACTTCGTTTTTTGGGCCCATACGCGCGTACGTTCGTTCTACCGTCTCGAAGACACACACAATAACTGTGAAACGACCAAAAGAAAACTGACATCTATGGCATTCCAAGAGCACATCTAAAGCTTAACTTTAACACATGTCACGGGCACACACACACCAACACTCGCTCACTCACTCACACCCAGCAGAAGACTCACAAAAATTCACACTCTTTCAAAACAAAACAAAAAAAAAAAACAGCGAAGAGACAACAACAACAGCGCTTCGTTTGTATTTTGCTAGACTTTACAACTGGAAAACAAAAACAACAACATCTGAAAACCACAACAACAGAAATTCATTGGGTTGTGCCAAACCTCACCGTCCAAGTGAGGAGAGCCATGAGTTTGGATACCCTCCATAGCCATTGTGTGGAGAAAAAACACAACCGGGTTTGCTTAACACAAACAATGGCAACAACAACAACAGTATCAGAAGCATGACAATAACTTCAACAATACCAGCAGCAACAAAAACCCGTTGTTGACTCTTTCAATTGATTTCAAAGAGGGGGAGAGTGAGATCAGGTGGGAAATAAGAGGGAGAGATATGGGGGGATATCAAAATAATATTGTATTAAGGCCTAATACAATAAGGCCTACTTTAGCCATAGAAGACCTATGGGATTTCTTATGGCATTAGATGCCCATTAAGGTAATCTATGGCGATAGATGATCTGCAAAACCTCCAAAGGCGATAAGAGACCTGCAATGTCGATATGGCGATATAACACCTGCAATGTCTTTTAGGTCTCATATGGCAATAGAAGACTTTTAAGGTCTCCTATAGAGATAGAAAACCTTTAGCAATAGCAATATAGCAATAGAAGACCTTTAATGTCTGTTATGGCAAAAGAAGACCTTCAAGGCTCTTGTGGCAATCTATAGAGATAGACGACCTATGGCGATATACATCTGCAATGTCTTTTAGGTCTCCTATGGCAAAAGAAGACCTTTAGAGTTTCTTATGGGAATAAAATGCCTCTCCTATGGAGAGAACCTTCAAGGTATCCTTCCACCTTGAAGGTCTCCTTCCACCTTGAAGGTCTCCTTCCACCTTGAAGGTCTCCTATAGGTAGAATACCTTAAAGGTCTTCTATCGCTATAGGAGTCCTTCAAGCTGGAGGGAGGCCTTAAAAGTCTTCTATTGCCACAGGAAACCTTAAAGGTCTTCTATTGCCATAGGTTTGCTATGGCGATAAAAGACCTTTAAGACACCTTAAACGCCTTTTATCGCTATAGGAGACCTTAAAGGTCTTCTATGGCGATAAAAGACCTTAAAGGCCCCCTATACCGAATAGGAGACAATGAGGTCTCCTATAGCGAAAAGGAGACCATGATATACCGAAAAGGAGACCAGGAGTTCTCCTATACCGAAAATGAGACCATGAGTTCTCCTATACTGACTAGAAAATCCTGAGTTTTCCTATATCGAATATGAGACGTTGAGGTATCCTATACCGAATAGGAGACGTTGAGGTCTCCTATACCGAATAGGAGACGTTGAGGTCTCCTATACCGAATAGGAGACGTTGAGGTCTCCTATACCGAATAGGAGACGTTGAGGTCTCCTATACCGAATAGAAGACCTCGAAGTCCCTATAGCGAATGGAAGACCCTTTTTATACCCATACCAAATAAAAGACCCTCAGGACTCCTATACCAAATAGAAGACCTTGAGGTATCGTATATTGAATAGGAGACCTTGAGATAGCGAATGAGTACTCTTGGGAGTACCCGAATGGGATATCATGTGGTCTCTTATACTTATTGGGAGACTTTGAGGTATTTTATACCAACTTGAGGTCTCAATTGTCTATAGAAGTCGTATACCGAATAGAATACCTTCAGATTTCCTTTACGACTTTACCGAATGAGAGATCTTGTATATATCTTAAATTTATTCCATTGAAGTAGTAGACCTTATTCTGTAGAGATATATATTTTATATCTCTTGCAGTTTCTTTATTTCTCACCATTTTCACACCACCCCCGTAATGTCCACACTTAATATTGCATTGTTATTAATAAAATATTCACTCGCACTCAAACTCTTCTTGCATTAATAACAAACAATAACAAACCTAAGTTGAACTGCTTCTTCTTCGTCTTCTTCTTCAAAAAAAAAAAAAAAATAACCCAGGTTCCCTCTCCAACGAAAAAAAATTACTTTTATTCACTCTCATTTGGTGGCTCTCCCAACCTACCCCACACTCGTTGATGTGTGGCAGTGTGAGTTGTTTGGTATGCTCCCCGAACTCCTTGTGCCCGGGTGTAATTTTCATATCATTCTCTCTGTGGGAGGGAAGGACGTTTAGAGAAATATTTCCATGCATGTCTTGCAACATTTCAATGCATTGTACGATGATGGTGTGGTGTGGTGGCCAGTGTCATCATACGGACAAACATACATACGATTGACGCGATTCTACGTCCGTATACCATCTTCAGATTCAAGACTTGTTATTCAACTTAACCATCCTTCGTTTTTTTTCGTTTGATTTCTTTACATCTCTATAATGTATTGAGTGGCCGCTAGGCCTTTTGGCAAACAAGAGACTGAGAGAGAGGGAGATAATACCATAAATTACAATTTGTAGTTAGGAGCTCTTTTCTCCTGAAGGGGTATGATTAGCCAAGGAGGAGCAGAAGTAAATAGTAATGCTCTGCTTTCTCTGCATTTTTTCAGGTCTTTGTAAGCGTCTTAATGTTGCCGCTTTGGGAGAAATATTGAAAATTGGTCGATTTTTTTCAAGTCCTCCAGATTAGAACTCAATACCATTTTACAGAGAGAATCCCTTGTGGTAATCGAAAGAGATATACCTCCTCCTCCTCCTCGTGTTCTCCCACGCCGATGAGGAGATGTCGGCGGTTACTTTATGAATTAGGATACCTTAAATTCTCCTGCTTTGAAAAAAGAGGTATTTGAGGTCTCACCTGAAAACAAGGACGCCTATGCAGATCGGGAGACCTTGAGGTATTATATATAGAGATTTTGAAGCCTTCATTGCCGAATAGGAGACGCTACACCGATAATGAGACTTTGAGTTCTCCTATACCTATAAAGAAACCTTGACGTCTCGTATAATGAGAAGGACGCCTAGAGGTCTTCAATACCAATATGGACACCGTGGAGTCTTAAAAACCCGAATAGGAGGCTTTGAGGTCTTCTATGCCAAATAGGAGACCTTAAAGTCTTCTATATCGAATATGAGACCTGGAAGTCTTCTATACCGAATAGGAGACCTTAAGGTTTTCTAAACCGAATAGAAGACTTTAAGATTTTCTATACCGAATAGGAGAGCTTGAGGTTTTTCTGTGCCGAATATGAGACCTTAAGGTTTTCTATGCCGAATAGGAGACCTTAAGGTCTTATATGCCGAATAGGTGACCTTACCTTATATGCCGAATAGGAGGTCTTCTATGCCGAATAAGACCCATTGAGGTCTTCTATGCCGAAAAGGAAACCTTGAGGTCTTCTATACTGAATAAGAGACCTTTGGGCCTTCTATACCGAATAGGAGACCTTGAGGTCTTCTATACCGAATAGGAGACCTTGAAGCCTTCTATACCGAATAGGAGACCTTGAGGTCTTCTATACCGAATAGGAGACCTTGAGGTCTTCTATACTGAAGAGGAGACCTTGACTTCTCCTATAGCGAATAAAAGACTTTGAAGTCTTCTATAGCGAATTTGAGACCTTGGGTCTCCAATAATAATTACAAGACCTAGAAGTCTCCAATACCAAATATGAAACCTTAAGGTCCTCTACATTGATAAGGGGCTCTTGGGAGACCATAAGATCTCCTATACCGAATAGAAGACTTTGAGGTCTCCTTTACCGTTTATAGCATACCTTGGGGTATCCTATATCGATTAAGCTACCTTGATGTCGCCTACACCGAATGTTGCCCATGCATATCCTATTCTGCGGTTGTCCATGTATAAAAGATCCCAAGGGAGGTCTGCTATAAATAGAAAACAACTACAAAGTCTTATGTGGTTTGAAAAGCCTCAGGAATACGTTTATGGACAAATTATCCCTAGAAGGGCTTTAATAGTTTTAAGCCGTCTAAAAATGCTTCTATAGACAGAGCCTCTCAGAGGTCTTTTAAAAGCGGTAGCATTTAAAGAGGCCTTATACGAATAGAAGAGTGCAAGGATGTCTTCTTATTTTAGTAGAAACCGTTTTGAAGATCTTCTATTGTTAGATATCCTTCTAAGAGTCTTATATTAATATCGGGCTATTTAGAGGTATTTTTTATGAATAGATGTCTCCTTAGTGTCATTCCCACCAACGAAGCCCTCTCGAAGACCTTTAATGGGTAGTTGCCCTCTTGAAGGTCTTCTGTGATTGGAAGTTATGTAAGAGGATAGATATTTCATAATAGGTCTGCTATGCATATGG